ATCGTGATTAGTTTTCATCCAACGGTAATCGTCTGATCAAATTTTACAGAGTGTTTTCAGGCTATAGAACTCCCTTTTCCTCTACTATCCACATTAGTTACAAAAGAGTGTCCAAAAACTTTGATACTGTTTTCAAATTTAGGGAAGATAATTTTGAAAGTACATCACTTACAAAACCACATTAGTTATAAGAATTTGTAGCAATGCGCCATGAATTATCACGTGTCTGACCTTTTTTGTTTTCACTCACTTTACCACTCAAAATTTAACGCAGGTGTCAAGTTTCCCAAATCCATCGATGTAGTTTTGTCTAGCGTGGCGCCCATGTGGCAAATATATGAAAGAGGTATGCACGTCAGCATTGGAACTTTTTGTTTTGTTTTTTTTGGTCTTAAACTTTGTAATGCACACATTATAGAAGTTTTTATTATTGTATTGAATAATTGGGAAAGCTAGATTTGTAAGTATGATTCACGAAGCCTACATGTAGCCTTCGATCCTTTGGTTTGCATATGCAGAGTTTGCTACGTTATTATTTATGTAGGGATCTGAGGTTGTGTCAACAGCCCACTTCAGAGGTTTCAAAAATATATATTGTGAAGACCCATTTAAAATATATATATATATATATATGTACATATATTTAGAATTAAATATTTTACTATTCATTTAATTTATAAATTATATATATATATATCTCTTCTTATTATTAATTAGCTCAAAAATATTATTATTTTATTGAGTTTAATCTAAAAACAAGAAATTATGTAGAGTTTAGACTACGTGGTATCATTGCGTATCTTGTTGAAAGGATGAGTATGAGTTTATTATGACATGGGTATAATGAGCATGAAGAATTAGAGTTATTTTGGCGTCAATTACATGCAATCAAAGGAGCATACAAAAATTTCTCCAATCAAAGAAGCATGAGGTGGTTTTCCTAGCATGAGTTGTTGACATTCGAGAAACAATTAGCTAAAGCTTGGAGTTAAGCTTATTAGCTGCTGCCACCTCACCAATTAAATGTCTTGCTGCCTCATTGTAGTATAAATAGGACCCTTTGTTACTTCTTTTGAAACACACATTAAATAAGTCTAGTGCTCTTACCACTGGTTAGAAGAGAGAGAGAGAGAGAGGCAATATATAGGAAAGATGACATATCGGAGGAGATATAGAGAGCTTGCCTTGTGTTTTATTAACGTCTTGTTATGCTTTCGAATCGAGGGGAGTTTTTACGGAAATTAATTTAATTAAATTTCGTGAATATTGTATTATTGTTTAATATTATTAAATGATGATATTATTGATATTATTTTATTAATGTTGACATGTTATAGGTGATGGTTGGAACTCTTGGATTAAGAAAGTAATTATGAGAAAGAAGGTAATAGAAAGGATCTTTTGTGTAGTTGAGTCAGACCATTGTTGGGACTAAGTTTAGGCAAGAATTGTAAGCACATCATAATAGGATATCAGTGGTAATATAATTGTTGATTGGGTGATTTGGGCTTGGAGATCAATAGTTTAGACAAGATGATTAACAAAATGAGAATTATTGAATGATTTAGCTCATACAAATAGGCATTCGAGACCAACTTATATAAGCATGGTATGAAACGTTTATTCACAAATAGACCATCCCAAATGTATTTGTAAACGTTTATTCACAGTATAGAGTGAGGATATCGATGGCCTATTTGTAATGCTTGTTCATTTATATGAATTAATAGGAATAGACGAAGAGCGTATATTGCGCACTCATGCATTACTAAAATTGATTTGGCATCTTATTGTATGATTGTATGTCACTTAATTTACTTATATCAATTTCTTATAGTAAGATTTATGTCCTTATTGGGCTGTGGTTTCGCTCGCCCCTTTATAGACCTTATTGGCTTAAAACCGAAAAGACGGATGGTAGGCGAGCTGAGGTTAAATTAGATGAGGGTGGTAGAACTTTAAAGTTTTTGGAACTTTAAATTAGATGAGGATTGTAGGTGAGTTGAAGATAAATTTATCTATTTTTAGTACACTTGTAAGATTTTAGACCTATTTTTATAGGAGAAGTTTATGTTAACCCATGTTTCAACCCCTTTTTGTTTTATCTTTTATTTTTTAGGCACTCGGCATGACGTTTCTACCATATTCGGGTCCGGGGTGTGACATATATATGTAAGCATCTCTGAATCCACATATAGAAGACCAAATGCATTTTATTAAGCTATTTTCAACTGTACTTTGTAGGCATGATTTTACTTTATTTTATTTTCCAAAAATATAATATTTATGCCTTAATTCGAATATTGAAAAAAAATAATTTTAAATAGGAAAAAACTAGCTAGATAGTAATTTCTCAGTTTAAACTCAATCTGAGTTTGCAATACACCGTAGAATCGAAGCCTTAAGCATGCTCGCAATATATTTTTGAGAGGATAAGCCAAAATAATTCGATTCGTGCAAGAAGGTTGAGAAAAATGACGTTAAACAGTGGGGAGCTTCATTCCTATCGAAAGTTCTTGCCTTCGAAGGTCTGGCCAAACTGCCAATTCTTAGGCGTTATATGCCATGAGGTGGAGTATCGTTTATCACTTGCTTGGACTCGGAAGGTGAGTGACTCACCAACTAACTTGGCATCAGTAACCCACCTCTGACCCCACATCCGCTTCATCATTGTCCATTTCAACTTGTTGCCCTTCACTTGCACGCTGACCACATCTCCAGCTCCTGCCACATTCCAAACCAACACTTCGTTGAAGTAAGGGTTGCCGGTTATCGTAAATCGAATTCCTCCTTTCTTTTGGCATGGAACCCTGCAAAGCATATTAAGATTTCATTCAATGTTGAACATGTTATGTTGTTATTAGATTGTCCATGAATTAATGCATGAAATTACCTGCGGTATTGGACTGGGACGATTCCAGCCTTGTACTCGGCAATATTGAGGAATACAGGCTTGGCTATGTCGAAATGCTCGCGTGGCGGATTGCACCATCCTCCATTGTCGCTTGCCTGATTCCAATTCGGGGGGCAATTGTTAGTTGCCGTAACATGCAGAATCGGACTCCCGGGCTTGCACCATTGAGGTTGGTCTACACATTTGATATCGTAGCATGCACCACATGACTGTCCGTTGTTGAACAACGCATTGCTCAATGCTACTGTCTCCAGGCCATATCCTTCTTGAACAACATCATGGTAACCGCAAGCTCCACCTGACAAGCTCAAAAGAATTAGTTGCAAATATATATAATGTAACTAAATATAGTGCTCGTGTTCAAAACGACGTTGGTTTAGAATTTCGTACCAAATGTTCCGGAGCCTCCTTCATAGAATGTGGCATGAGCTTGCTTCCAAGGGCCGGCAGTGAACCTTGGCCTGTGGTGGGCAATGGCATGGTCAGGAAATACCGCTAGAAGAAAGAGCAGCAATGAACCCAACATGGCTTTCAAATTAGGCAATCTCATGGTGGCTCTTTGGCTACAGCTTAATTGCCTCCCTTCACTCAATTATAATAAGCTTGATTTCTTTCTTCTTTTCTGTTTTCAAGATTCTTGTATGGCGGGGCATATATAGTACAAGATTCTAGTTATTTTATGCGGTGGTTGCGGTTTAATTAGTTGAATTCGTTGTAACTTCTCTCTTTGTTATGAGGTACATCTTGCATGCTGGCAATTCATGCTTCATGAGCTGTCAACAATTGTTATAACAACTTTTACAAGGTTAGTTCTTAGTTTGATGGATTTGTCCATCTTAGTTATTTTGTAAAGGAGTATTATTTTCGGTAAAAGAATCTGGATGTATGGATGTCCCTTAGATTCTATTACCTCCACATTAATTGGTATCCGATATATATATATATATATATATATATATATATAAATCATGACAATATAAATCTCCATTTACATCCCATTTCTGGCCCGTTAATGGAGCACATTTTGGGTTGTGGGAATACAAAATTTTCCAATAAGGGATCGTTTGGGAGTAATTCTGGGAGAGCCAGCCAAAATCACTTGTGAGGGTGCTTCTCCATAAAATCACTTACGCCCCATTTGGTTCTCGGAAAAGATTTGAGGGGAAATAATTTCTCACATCTTTCTCAAGGGATGAGAAATGAAAGATTTCTTTCCCATGTATGGTAATGTTGGAAAAGTAATTAGGAAATATCACTTTATTTCCTTTCACATGTTTGGTTTGCATAGAAATGTAAAACAAAGTTTGTTTAATTTTTCACTTAAACCCATATGAAATCAAATAAAAAAATGAATGCATTTAATGCTATATTTAAATTCTAAATTGTTATGGGATCATAAAAAATGTGCATTTAATGTTGGCTTAATTTACCAAACTTTTTCATGAGGAGGGAAAACAAAACCCAAGAGGGGAGAATGGCTTCATTTTCTCCTCTACTTTCTCATGTGCCGGGCAACAATTTCCTATGCATAACATGAGAAAGCAATTGATTTCCCATCCATAAACTTCATTTCCCATGAACTAAACGGAGCCTTTAAACCATAAAGTGATTATATGATAAGTGATTCTCCATAAAAGTGATTATTGGTCTATCCAAAATCACTCCTAAATTGCTCTAATAAAATTGCATGAACCGAGTGTAAAATAAAAATATTTTAATAATTTTAAAAATTAGTGAAATATACGTAATATCCGTACACAAATCAATTAAAATTGGTAGCAAATCAAAACCACGAGGGCATATAAAAAAAACAAAATTAAAGACGGGGGAATAGAATAGAAAACCACATGGACCTTATCTGATTTTAAGCCCAAAATAAAACCACACAAACACAACAAAAATTGAAGCTGCAGTATTTGCTCGATCACTACAGCCCAACTCAACCGATCCAAATCAACAGACCAAAAAGATAATAAAAATTCATGAAAATTAATGAAAATAAGGACTAATCAATCAGGTGTCGCGTTGCTAATGAATTATTTACTTGTTTTCTACTGCAACTCCGATTTTACAGAGGAAAGAGTAACTACGAAGCTCCATTTTCGAACGCGAGCATGAAAAAAAAAGTGGAAAGGGCCAAGAGCAACACCAGCTGAAGAAGAAGCTCCAACAAGCCGCAGAGCTTGATCCTCTTGTTCTGGAGTCGCTCCCTCACAACCTCCATTTTCAGATCTCCGATCTCTCTCCTCAGAATCTCCTTCTCCTGATCATCGAATTTTCAATTCCGATCACAATTAAGATTATCAAGGTAAAAATGAGCAGAGAAAGTGAGAGATTAATGTGTTGAGCAAATTAGTACCAAAATGTCGTCGTTGTCGATTGCGGTGTTGAGGCTGCGATTGGGCGGCGATTTGAGAGAAGAAAGAAGAAGAGCGGCTTTTGCACAGCGAATTGCAGCATGCGATCTCAGAGCTTCGCCTCCTTCGCTTTTGGTTTGGGTCTCTCTTCCCTCCATAGCGCTCTCTCTCTCTCTCTCTCTCAATTTCTTCACTGTATGAATTTGAATTATTTTGGTTTTGAATTGAGATTGCCTTTAAATTGGGGGTTCTGCTACTTTACACGTGTCGGTTGGACCTAAAGGCAAGTCAATGCGACTCAATTTGGATTTCTAAAATTCGCCAAGTGAGCCATAATTATCCACGTCTACAGGTTTTTCAGTCAATTACAAATGTCCAAATTCCTCTCAAGCTTCATTAAAGTTTTTTTTTAAAATAAAAATTACAAGTGGTATTGGGGAGGGAAAATTCGAAGCTAGGATATCGGGTGCACAAGTAAATACTTTTTATTACGTGAGCTACAAGTCCCTTGCTTCTTCATGTTCATCTTAATTTTAAAAAAGGCCAATAATTTTTAAATTATATTCAAAATGTTAGGCTCAATAGGTAACTACAACGAAGAACCACATACCAGTATGCATCCTAATTTGTTCTATATTTCTCAAAATTTGGCATATGCTAATAACTGGACATAAAAGAATATAACTCATTAGAGCATCTCCAAGGGATATGTTAAATATCAAACATCAAATTTAAATTTGATGGATGATGTGGCAATTTGACATCTTAGAGCATCTCTAACCGATGTGTCAAAAGTGCCACATAGACATTTAACGGTTAGAAATAACATCTCACATCACTCCAACCGATGTGTCAAAACTGATGTGGAATGAAGGCTGGAGGTTGAGATGTTATTTTTGACATTCCAAAAGCAAGATGTCAGATGAATATTTTATTATTTTTAAAAGATAGTTGGTTGTTACTTTCATTTATTTATTATTTATTTTTATTTTCTTCTTTATCTTAAATGATTTGGCTGTTACGATAATTATTTATTTGACACATCGGGTGGAGTGTAAAACTGTGTAAATGTCAAATTGCCACATCATCCATCAAATTTAAATTTGATGTTTGGTATTTGACATCTCCCTTGGAGATGCTCTTACACAGCTTTACACTCTACTCGATATGTCAAATTAAATTATTATTTTATTACATTTTAGTGTTGATTTATTTTTAATTAAAAAGAAAAGAAAATAAAAAATAATAAAATATTCATTTGACATCTTGCTTTTGGGGTGTCAAAAATAACATCTCAACCTCCAGCCTTTATTCCACATCAGCTTTGACGCATCGGTTGAAGTGATGTGAGATGTTATTTCTATATGTTAAATGTTTATGTGACATTTTTGACACATCAGTTAGAGATGCTTTTAGGTAACTACATTGAATATAACAAACTATTTTCTTATATAATCTTCTATGCATTGCTAAATTGTTATTGTAGAAGTAAATATTTGCACACCAATGACAATACGCCATTTGGATAGAAAGATGTTCACATGGACTAAATTGCCCCTGATTAAAGGTAGGAGGAAGTGAGATGCATCTTGTTAACAATAATTAAGGGCAGTAAGGTATGGCAATGGGTTGGGGGTGGGTATACCATTCCTATTCCCATCCCCATTAAGTTTTTTTCCCCATCCCCACCTTCATACACGCAGTATTCATGTCGGGAATTCTCCATCCCCACCTTCTTTGGGGAATAAGTTCCTCGACCCACCCTATTACAGAAGAAAAAAAACAATATAAAACTACTTTTGTTGAAAGAAAAAAAAATAGAATTAGAGCAAGATAATGGATATATATATAATATATACATATAAGACAATATAAGAATGTTTACATATTAATTAAAATTTAACTAAATATATAAGTAGTGTGGCTTAAGATTCATATAAATTATATAAATATATAATATAATCATAGAAAATATAAAATATAAAATTTTGTCGGCACAATCACTTTAATATCATATTTATATATACTATATATATATATATATATATTCTAAACAGGAAGGGTTCGGGTTGGAGATTAAAATACCATCCATGCCCCTCTCCGAACACCATACCCAAAAAATTCCCTGTATCCATCCCTATACCTGTTTTTTATCCTTCATACTCGACCCATTATGGTCGAATCCTAGCAAAGATCCTTACCCACAGGGAAAATTGTCATCCCTACTGCCTACAAGCTGACAAATGACGATCATCTGCCAGGGTAACAAGATACATAGGTTGCGCATAAGCCCTCATGACATAGGAAGGCTCAACAAAGCCCATATCCAAGCAAGGCTAAATACAAATCTAGCCCTTGGGCCCTTGTGCCTTACATGCCTTAGTTTAAGCATGAACAAGCTCAAAGGGATGAGCCCAACAAGACTCTTTCTTAGGCAACATGGCTCCAACAAATCAGCCCAAATTACCAAGATCTCCTAATTTATTACGGCCTCAATAAATAAGGAGATTACACTCATCCATTCTGGATAATTATCCACACACCCCAAGTTAAACGGCTAGTTGACTTAACATCCGACCTAACGAGTCTTAATGCATCCAATCGACATTAAACACGTAGCCACTCATGACGAAAAATCAAGCAAGACATAATTTTATGGAAAGCAACCTATGCCTTAAGGAGAATGTAAATGTTCCTTGAAACTAAGAAATCCTACTTTGTTCATTCCTCACTATTGACTTCGGCATCAGATACTTTTTGGTTCACACCACACCGGTGTGTCTAATGGTTAATTTTGTCTCTTTCTTTTTAGTTTCAGGGCACAAATGTCTTTCCAAATAGCTTGGGAGATTCATTCCCTATAGTTGTCACATAAAGTAATAATTATGGTCAAAAAATACATTTCATGTATTTACAACGAAGAACACATTAGATTACGTAAAAAGAATACAACTCATTAGGTAACTACAACGAATATAACAAACTATTTTCTTAGTATAATTTTCTATAAATTACTAAATTGTTATCACATAAACTAATAATTATGTCCAAAATGTATTTCAAGTATCTACAACGAAGAACACGTTACATTACATAAAGAATACAACTCATTTAGGTAACTATAATGAATATAAAAAAACCATTTTTTGAGTATAATTTTCAATATATTACTAAATTTTATAAACTAGTAATTACGGTCAAAAAATGCATTTCAAGTATTTACGACGAAGAACACGTTAGATTATTTGTTTAGTCAAAACTTTTTAACTCAATAAGTAACTACAACGAAGAAAATGCTTGCAGAAGAACATACTAAATATTCAATTTTTTCCTAAAAGAAGTAATAGCAAAAAATATTATTTCACAATTCAATTAATATTAAAAAGAAAAGAAAATTAAATATTAACTTTCGGAAATAAAAATAAAACCATTTTTCCCTTCCTGTTTATTTTCTCCGCGTACATATTCGTGCAGACAAAATAGCGGTAAGAGACACAACAGCCAAGCACACCTCAGTCCCTATTTGTGTATAAATAGAGCAAGGAGCCTGACTCTGTAAAACCTCCGAGGCTCTGACAAAAACCCCCGCAAAACCCAACAAACCCAGAAGCCCCATTTTTTCTCTCACTCTCGGCCTTCAAAGTTCAAACAAAAACCCACCCATTTCGCCAAACCCCAAGAACCATTTTATTTTTTTTCACCAAATCCCATTTCCCTGGTAATGCCAAGCAGCCCTTTTGGGTTCAATGGGTCCTCAAGAATCTGAGACTGGCAGTGATAAGTTCAGACTCCTTGTGAAACTTTCTTCAAATACTCCTGTCTTTGGCTGCAGAATGTTCCCTATCGTTCGTGTGAGTAGGCACCTATCTTTCCTTCAACTTGAAGTCCCGCCTCACGAGCTCACTTTCTCATGGTTAGCCTTTTTTTTCTCTTCTTTCTTTCTTTCTCTTAATTTCGTCCCTTTTTTTTCTGTGAAATTTTTTGTTTTATGATCTTTTTGTTATTTTCCTTGATGAATGTGATTTTAATCACAATGCATGTCTTTTTTTTCCACATGAATGTCTGTTTCGGTTGCTAAAGAAACAGAGGAAAAGATTACCCTTTTGTTTAGTGAACTTTTGGTTCCAAGATGTGAACTTTAATGCCAACAAAACAAGTAGGTGTTTTTTTTCCTGAGAAGAATCAAAATTTGGAGAGTAGGATTGTGGTATCTTGAACCAATCAAGATTACTTGAGATTCGACATTTCTTCCTTTCTTAATTTTGTTTTGTTTTGTTTTCATGTGAAGTGAGTCATTCTATTCAAAATAAGGCTCTGTTTTTTTGGTCTGAAAAATAAGGCTCTGTTTGGTAGCTGAGAAAAATGGTTTTATCTTTAAGATAAAGCTGACGTGTTTTTTATTTACTTATTTTATTTTGTTCCCTTTAAGGTAGGCACTTGTAACTTGTAAGAGTCCTTCATGTATATATTTTCTTTCATATTCTCTTATTTTATTTATAATATAAAAAACCATGACCGAGTTTCTAAATTTCTCTTATCATCCCTTCTATTTGTACACTCCTAATTGTAATGATAATAATTGTCATAATGAGATTTTTTAAATTTTCTTAGCAGCAAAATGAAGTTCAAGCTTTCGTATATTTCCTTTATTTGTTCTCCCGTTATTAATTGTCACAAAGTTTTGTTCACATGCACATGAAGTAAGAGGTGGAAATAGTATATTGGAGTTTTTCTATTTCCAAGTGTGGAAAATTGTTGTTCTATAGAAGCTTCGTTGTAGTATAGTAGCACCTATTATAGTGGATTCATGTTCAATCATGTTCCAATATGTAGGTACCGAGAGCAGACTAGCTCTTCTTTTGACCGGGACAAGGTTCGCTGTTCTGTCCATCTTGACATGTTGGCCAAAATGCAGTGCGAGGAATGTGTAAAACTGAATTTATCTGTCAAGGGAAGTTACCATTGCTCTAATAGTTGTTATGTGGATGCATGGGAAAAGCACAAGGTGTACCATCGTTATGCAGCTGAAACTGTTAGTGAGACTTTGAGTAACAATCAACAAGAAGTAAGAAATATCAAGAGTTATGGGCCTGATAAATATTGGCCGGAGTCTGACTTTGTTGTGGGTTCATCATCTGATAAGAATGAAAAGGTGATG